GNACAAAAGATCCGACGGCATCCCCCAGTGGGTGGGTGGGCGCGGAAGGTCGGGTTTTAAAAAAGCGACGTGTACTTAAAGGGTACTTGTAACGCGCGCGCGCGCGCGCGCGGAGGCCGCGCGCGTCCAGCGTCCCGCGCCGCGCCAGGAGCCGGGAGGAGGTGCCATGGGCCACGGCGGTGTCCTCGTCGAGTCGGGCCGCGCCCGGCTTTCGTCGGCTGACCCGCGGCTGCACGGTGGCGGCTCCTGCAGCGGCACCGGCGACTCCCGGTCGAACTGCGGCGCCGCGCGGTCCCGCGCGCGCGGTGTGGCAATTCAGCGATAACCAGCGGCGCGCGACGCGGCAACTTGAAGGCAACCAACGAAAAAGGAGCTCGCTGATTGGCCGGGAGGTGGGTGGGTGGGCGCCGGTCGCCGGCACCAAAAATCCGGCATGCCGTCGGGTATTGTTTTTTAGGTAGCCTCCTGGCGCAGGGCAAACGAAGCGACCTTGAAGGCTTCGTCACCTCGCCGTAGCGCCCGGCAGCGCGGACGCACGCGTCGGGGGCCGACGCGACGACCGCGCTGTCGCCGCGGGGCCGCGCCTGCGTCGCCCGGCAGTTTGCGCGCGACTACGCCGCCGTCGAGCGCCTCGCCGCCGGCGTCGGCGACCTCGCGGACGTCACGGCGGCGAGGTTGAGGCGGCGCGGTCGGGGGGGCATCGCCGCCGTCGATCGGTCGGCGAGCCGGGGCCTCTTGGGGGGATATGGGCGGCGCGTGTGAGGCCCGAGCGCGCGCCAAAGGAGGTCAAAGGCCTCGCCAAGCCGGCGCGATCGCACCTCGATTGGTTTTGCCTCAAAATTCCTCACTTGAGCCTACCTAGGTAGTTGAGGCCTCGCTAAGAGGCGGCCCCGATGGAGAGTTTGAGTAAATTTGCCGTGCGCCTCGAAGACGCGAGCCGCCCCGCCCGCTTCATCCTTGTAGTGCCGCCCCGCGTCCCGACATGGTGACCAACACCTTCTCCCTCTTCATACCTCGCCCAAAAACTCGAGCGCTCGCGACGGTTCGGCCACTTTTGACCTACGACATGGACACTCTATGGTCCAAGCAATCAAAGCACGACGCATATTGAACCTTGTGAAGCCTAACCCCCCCCGAGTAAACGAGCGCCGCTCCCTTACGAGTCCCGGACGGAGCGGCCCTTGACGAGCGGGGACCGCGTCGGGCTCGCCCGGTCGTCGTCGGTCGGGTCGCCGTCGTCGGCCGGCGGGAGGTCGGGTGGCACCGAGAGGTCCGCACCGCCGGCTGGAGGAAATTTCACTTGAGAAGATCTTGAGAAGGCGGAGTAAATTTGCCTTGACGCGTCTCTAAACGTAGGGGGCCCGGGTTCGCGGGCGCATCCGCGGACGCGATCGTCGACGGTCTGCCGCCGCGCGCTCGCGTCCATGCTCCGGGACCGCCCGCCCAACGTAAGACGGTACTGGGGACGGGCCTGGGATCAGAGGCGAGTCAGTTTCGAGGTTTCTGGTGGTCTCGAGGGGCGTCTGGAGGCCTCGGTTCAGCGATCGGACACATTTCGCGATCGGACACATTTCGCCACAAGGATTTCGAGGGTGGTCGAAACTCAACGCGGCGCGCCCCCGGTGCCTCGCCACGTCCGCCCCTGAACGCGTTGCCGCCCCGTGCCGCGTCAGGGACTGCGAACACCCCGCCCTGAACGCCCGGGAGCGCCCCCTCTTTAATCATGGGCGCCTCCTCGTCCAAGGACCTCGACGAGCCCCTCATCGGCTACAAGATGCCGTCGGACCGGTCCCGCGTGCGGTCCATGCGGTCCTACCTCCCCCCCGGCTCCACGGGCCCGTCCTTCGACCCGGGCTTCGACGGCTACGACTTCCTCATCATCTTCGCGCGGCCCGGCCACGTCGTCGACGGGTCCTCCGACGCCGCGCGCGCGAGTTGGAAGTTCGCCGAGGACGTCTGGTTCCGCGCGACGCCCGGCGACGAGGAGGACAAGGAGGCCGGCGTCGCGAAACTGCGGTCCGCCTGGCGGGAGCGCTTCCGCGTCGACGACGTGCGGCCCGACGACACGATCCCGCTCGACGCGTTCCGCGACCTCGCGCGCGAGCTCGCCGTCGAGATCCTGTCCGGGGGCGCGCAGGGCCTGCAGGTCCGCGCGGAGATCTCGGCCTGCGGCACGCGCGTCTACTGCCTCGCGCGCGCGCGCGCCAAGGCGCTCGAGCGCGCCGCGTCCAAGTACAAGTACAAGCTGCGCTTCAAGAAGGAGGTCGACCCGGGCCGCGCGTTCTGGCTCAAGTTCGGGAGCCACGACGAGGGCCTGGGCAAGTTCCCGGAGCTCGACGAGGACGGGCGGCTCTACGACAAGCCCGCGGCGAACGAGCTCCTCGAGGACCTGTACCACGCCGGGCAGGAAACGAGTGATTCAATATCGCTTCAACATGAGTGTTCCGCGCGCGCGCGTTCCGGCAAAAGCATCCACGCGTCGAAAGCGCTCCCAGAGATGATCGCTCGTCCAAAAATTAGCCGAAGCGAGCGGAAAACGATCGAGATAGGAGCCTCCAAAGTTGGGGTTTCGCACTCTTTTCCTGCCCAGGTACCACGCGGGGAAGATCGGCCCGGGCGACATGGCCGTCTTCGACGGCGACGAGCCCGGGCCGCGCCACTGGAGCCGCCGCGTCCACGTGCTGGAGCGCGTCGCCGACGGCGTGCCCGTGACCAACGCGTACCCGGCGTTCGCGTCCTGGGAGAACAAACCCGCGCACCGCCACCTCTTCGAGACGTACGCGACCGCGCGGGGCCCGTCGCTCTTCCTGCCCAAGGACCGGCTGCTGCTGACGAAGCGGCTCCTCGACGAGCGGCTGCTGTTGGACGTCCTCGTGGAGCAGGGCCTCGTGCCCGCGTGCTTCCCGCTCCACGCGGCGTCCGAGGGCGACGGCGTCCGGCTCCGCGACTTCCAGGACGCCTGGGTCTACTGGTGGGCCTGCGACCGGGACCTCGCGGGGTCGCCCAAGGTCTCGGGCGTCGGCTACGAGTCGGGCACCGCCTGCGCGTACCTGTCGCGGCCCTGGGCGCAGCCGCTGCGCCTCGCGCGCGCCTACTTTGGCGAGAAGGTCGCGCTCTACTTCGCCTGGGCGGGCTACTACGGGTTGTGCCTGCGCACGCCCTGCGTCGTCTGCGCCGCCGGCGCGGCGATCGGCTACACCTACGGCGACGTGGGCGAGCTCGGCGAGCGATTGGGCCTCGCGGTCTTCATGGTCGCCTGGTCCGCGTCCTACGTCGAGGGCTGGGCCCTGGAGCAGACGCTCGTCTCGCTCAAGTGGGGCACCTACGGCCACGGCGAGCGGGAGATCTTCCGCCCGGAGTTCGAGGGCGACCCGGCGGAGCCCCGGAAGCTGTCACCGATCACGAACCACCGCGAGACCTGGTACCCGGAGTCGAAGCGGGAGGCGACGAAGCTCGGCAACGCCGTCGTCCTCTTCGGCGCCGTCGTGCTGCTGCTGTGCTGCGTCGCGGGCGTCTTCGCGGCCGAGTTCGAGCTCGTCGAGCGGGGGCTTGACGTACGTCGCGTACCTCGCGAACCCGGCGCTCGCGTTCCTCATCCAGGTCGCGTCGCGCTCCTACGCGGGCCTCGCGACGCGGCTCAACGACGCGGAGAACTACGCGACGGAGTCGGACTACGTCGACCACCTCATCGCGAAGAAATTCGCGTTCGAGGTCATGAACAACTACGCGGCGCTCGCGTTCACGCTCTTCGGCAAGTTCGGCTACCTCGACTGCGTCGGCCCGTCCGCGCCGGGCTGCGTGCGCGACGCGCGGGCGCTCATGCTCACGATCTTCTTCGCGCGCTACGTCGCGTGCCTCTACGAGACGTTCTTCGGCGACGTCGAGGACGAGGACGCGGCGGGCGCGCCGCCCGTCGCGGCCGAGGTCCTGGCGCGCCAGCCCGACGAGGGCAACTTCGACGACTACGAGGCCATCGTGCTGCAGATGGGCCTCGTCGTCAACTTCTCCATCGTGCTCTTCATCGTGCCGCCGCTGGCGGCCGTCGAGGTGCTCTTCCAGCTGCGGGCGGACGCGTTCCGGCTGTGCCGGCGCGCGCGGCGGCCCGTGCCGAGGCGCGCGGAGACGGTGGGCGCCTGGAGCGACCTGATGCGGGCCTCGGGCTTCTTCGCCATCTTCGTCAACGCGGGCGTCGTCGTCTTCGCGACGGAGGAGGCGCAGCGCGCGCTCTCGTCCAACCAGCGCATCCTCGCGTTCCTGGCCCTCGTCCAGGCGCTGGGCATGGTGCGCGTCGTCGTGCCGCTCGTGGCGTCGTCGGAGGACGTCGCGTCGGACATCCTCCGGCGCAACGCGCACGTCGTCCGCCGCCACACGCGGCCCGTCTTCGCGGACGACGACGACGACGACGGCTCCGGCGGCGGCGCCGAGGACCGCAAGGACGACGACCGCAAGGTCGGCAACGTCGACCGCGCCGCGGCGCTGCGGGGGGACGCGGCGCTGACGGCGGAGGGCGCGCGGCGCCTCGCGTACCTCGAGGCGCGGAAGGCGAATCTGCAGATGGACCTGCGCATGGAGCGGCAGAAGTACAAGCGCTACCTCGAGGCCGAGGACTTCCGCGAGGACTGCGGCGTGTCCTACTCGAAGCGCACGCCGGACCTCGCGCTGGGCATGGTCACGCTCGTCATCCTCGAGGCGCACGACGTCGGCACGCGCGAGAAGCCCGTCGCCGCCAGGGACGTCAAGGCCGTCGTCGCCGTGCGCGACCTGCGGCGCATGCGGACCGCGGAATACGAGGGCTCCGTCGGGCCGGGGGCGCTCTTCTCGCGCGCGGCGCGCGCGCGCCCGGCGGCCGGCGGCCGCGCGGCGGGCCGCGACCTCGTCTTCAACCAGACCTTCTCGCTCGCGCCCATCAAGTCCATCCACGCGTCGCTCGTCGTGGAACTCACGGACACGCGGCGCAAGGTCAAGCTCGCGACCACGGCCATCGCGCTCTCGGACCTCGACCACCAGCGGAACGAGTCGCTCACGCTCGCGATGGCGCGGACCGGCGACGCGCGCGACGCGCCGCCGGGCGAGGCCAAGCCCATCCTCTACGTCAAGGTCAAGTTCATGTACTCCCGGCTGCTGCCCATCCGCCACGCGATCTACGGCATGCTCGAGCACGAGCGCCGCCTCGACACCGACATCTCGAACCTGCGCTACAACAAGCCCGCGGAGCACGCCTGGGACTGGCCCGAGGACGAAGCCGCGAAGCGGCGGCCCAACGTCGACCCGAACATCGACCTCGTCTAAGCGTATGAGACGCAGGCTTGCTTGAAGGGGGGGAAGGGAAGGGGAGTTTCTAGAGCGCGATGCTCTCCGGCGGCGGTTCGTCCTCGTCGTCGGTCGCGTCGGCGTCGCGGGGCCGCTTGCGGTTCGAGGGCGCGACGGCCTGCTTCTTCCGCCGCGCGGCCGCGGCGACGCCGGACGCGGGCCGTTTGGCGGACCGCGGCGATTTTGTGGATTGGCGCTGGCGGTCGAGCTCCTTCGCGAGTTCCTTGACCTCCTTCTTCGCCGCGTCGAGCCGCGCCTTGGCGGCCTCGACGTCCGCCTCGGACACGTCGTCCTCGACGGCGTCGTCGTCGTCGTCGCCGTCGTCGCCGTCGTCGGCCGCGGCGTCGCGGCGCGCGGACTCGAGCTCCGCGGCGATGGCCGCGCGCCGCTGCTCGACGCCGCCGCGCGCGGAGGAGAACTCGAACTTGGGCGGCTCGTCCTTGGCGCCGCCGACGCGCGCGCGGCCGTGCGCCCGGAGCGCGACGCCCGGCGCGTCGCGCGCGATGCGCGAAAAGTCGCAGGCGCCGGCGCGCGCCTGGTCGCGCGCGTCCTCGGCCCGCTCCAGGGACGGCGTGTCCGGGAAGATGAGGGCCTTGTAGTTGTTGAGGAGCTGCGCGAAGACGCGGCTCATGTCGTCGCACGCGCGCGGCACGAGGGCCTCCGCCGCGAGCGCCGCGGCGCCGTCGGCGGCGGCCAAGGCCTTGCGGATCGTACGCGGCGTGCGCTCCGCGTCCCAGCTCGCCCCCCGGCGCGCGAGGGACACGTTGACGACGTCGATGACGAGGCCGCCGACGCGCTCGGCGACGGCCTGCGCGGCGCGGCGCGCCGCGTCGGACGTGACGTAGAGCATGTTGTTGCCGCAGAGCGCGGCGACGCATTTCGCGTCGCCGTCGTCGTCGATCGTCGCGAGCTCGCTGAGGAAGCCGACGCAGTGGTCCTCGATGCCGTCGCGGCGGAGGCGGCGCTGGAAGCGCGCGCGGAAGTCGTCGAGCTTCGCCTCGCGCGCGGCGTTCGTCGAGAGCCGCGCGGGCCGCCGCGGCGCGTCCGTGCGGCCCTCGAGCGCCTGCTCCTCGGCCTCGAGCCGGGCGACCGCGGCGGCGGCCTCGCGCCGCGCGTCCGCGCGCGCCGCGCGGTCGTCGGCCGCGCGCGCCTTGGCCGCCGCGGCCTTGGCCGCCTTGGACCGGCGGTCCTTGAGGCCGCGGTACGCGTTTTCGAGCTCGACGATGTCGCGCCGCTTCGCGTCGAGCGCCTCGCGCTTCGCGCGGAGGTCGCCGTCGCGCGACGCGCGCGCCTTGTCGTTCGTCAGGCCCAGCGGGAAGACGGTGTTGACGTTCATGACGCCGTCGACGTCGTCCTCGTGGCCGTGGCGGAACAGCTTGAGCGTGACGCCGAGGTAGACGCCGTCGATGGCCCGGCGGTTGTCCGTCCTGTCGACCAAGCGCACCTCGACGACGGTCCGCGCGTCGGGCGCGAGCGCGAGCGCGACGCCGTCGGCCGGGTACGCGCGGAGCTTGAAGCGGTCCGGGTCGTCGCCCTCGGGCCAGGAGCGGATCTCGACGCCGATGGGCGCGTCGGCCTGCGTGAGCGTCGTGATCTGCTCCGATTCGCCGAAGGTGTCGTCGAGGTCCACCGTCGCGCGCGCGGCGCACGCGCAGCGCGCGGCGCCGGCGTCGTCGCCGTCGAACGCGGAGACGTAGTAGCGCGCGGACGCGGCCGGCGCGGGCGTGTCGTCGTCCTGGCTCACGCTCAGCAGGCTGTGGCTCGCGGCGGTGGGCGCCCGCTCGAGCACGATGCGCCGCGCTTCGCCGGGCACGCGCGCGACGTGGATCGTCGCGTGCGTCGCCGCGTGCTTGCCGCCGCCGTCGAGCGTGAACTCGAGCGCCGCGGGCGCGTCGGGCGACGAGCGCTGGAACCAGGTCGTCTTCGACGTCTCGCGGAGCTTCTGGACGTGCTGCCACGACCCCTTGCCTCCGGCCTTGAAGCGGAGCGGCGCCTCGACGGCGTCGGGCCGCGCGCGCTGGCCCGCCTCGTCGACGGCGACGAACGCGACGTGGTCCCAGACGTCCTCGCCCGCGGGCACCTCGACGACCGCGCCGTCGGCGAGCTCCGTCACCGTCGTGTCGCCCCAGCCCCCGACCTCCCCCTCGAGGAAGGCCTCGCCGACGCCGGCCTCGGAGCGCCGGTAGACCGTGAGCGCGACGGGCCGGTCGATCGGGTCGACGTAGACGGCGACGGGGTCGACCTGCACGCTGTCCGAGAAGTCCGGCGACTGGGGCGTCAGGATCGCCTTCGCGCGCTTCGGTAGCGGCGCGCCGCCGGCCGTGTCGATGACGAGCTCCCCGAAGGAGACGACGCCGGCCTCGTCGACGACGCCCGCGGGGGGCGCCACGTCCGCGCCGGCCTTCTTCTTCTTCTTCCGGTACGCGGCGAGCTCGCACGGCACGCCCGAGTGGTTGTCCGAGTTGTCGAGCGCGAGCGTGCAGCTGATCTCCGCCATGCCATTGACGCAGCGGTTGCCGCAGGCGTCGAAGCACGTCCACTTGGGGCTCTGGAAGCGCGCGCCGCGGCTCAGGCTCGGCGCGGAGCCGTCCGCGCGGACCTCCGTGATCGCGCCCGGGATGAGGTTCAGCGCGCAGACGGCGTCCAACGACACGCCGCCGCGCGCGAGCGTCAGCGCCACGTCGACGCGTGCGGACGTGCCGGAGCCGGCGTCCTCGCCGACGAAGCGGCCCCTGACGCGCCAGCCGCCCGGGAGCGTCCAGGCGCCCGTCGCGGCGTCGCGGACGAGCGCCGTCGGCGTCGCCTCGAGCGTCGCCCGCGCGTCGTCGCAGGACAGCGTCGCGACGAAGGGGTCGCCGCCGGACGCGTCCGCGCCGCACTCGTCGCGGATCGCGACGGCCCAGGGCCGCGCGGCGTCGCCGACGGCGAGCGCCTCCTGGGGCGCGACCTCGAGGCTCGCCGGCGCGCCGGCCTTGAGCGTCAACGCCATGGCGTCCGTCTCCAGCAGCGTCGCCTTGTCGCCGTCGGCCTCCTTGACGACGGCGACGAGCGCGAACGCGCCGCGCTCGCGCTCCGCGACGACGGGGCCCGCGGGCCGCGTCACGAGCGCGCTCAGGTTGAAGACGGCGGCGCCGTCCTCGAGCGCGGCGGGCGTGAAGAACTTGCAGGTCTCGCCGCCGGCGAGCCGCAGGTAGAGCGCGACCGTCGCGACGGGGAAGTTCGCGTCGACGGCGCCGTCGCCGTCGACGACCTCCGCGCGGAGCCACGTGTGGTGGAGCTCGGAGGCGTCGAAGGCGCCCAAACCGCCGTCCGCCGCCGCCGTCCAGCGCGCGTCGCCGCCGTCCGGCGCGTCGGCGAGGCCCTCGGCCGTCAGCGTCTTCACGGCGAGCGCCCGGTCGATGGTCGACGCGTCGGCGAAGCACTCGCAGCCCTGCACGGCGAAGCGGAGCGTGCCCGACCAGCCGAAGGGCGCCTCGAGGCGCACCTTCTGGCGCAGGACGCCGTCGTCGGATTTGTCGTGGCCCATCTGCGCGTGGACGCGCGCGCCGCCGCCGCGCTTATCGACGACGCCGACCTCGAAGTCGTAGCCCTCGAAGTCCTCGAGGCGGTGGCCCGACGCCGCCGTGAGCTCGAGGCCCACGGTCACGAAGGCCCGCGGCGCGAGGCCGTCGAGGCTCTCGGGCTCGACGAGCGCGACGCGCGCGGGCGCCGCGGAGACCGCCGTCTCGAGGCCGTCGACGGTCCGCGGCACGATCCAGTGCGCCGGCCGCGCGTTGACGGCGGCCTCGAGCGCCGCGAGGTCCGGGAAGGTCTCGCCGAAGCCCGCGCCGCGGCCGCCGGACGCCGCGGCGTAGCCGCCCGGCACGGGCCGGTACGTCACCCAGGTCCACGACCCCTCGACGACGGGCTCGAGCGACGCGTGGAGGCGCACGTCCCGGGGCAGGGACCCGCCCGGCGGCACGGCGCCCTCGGGCACGGCGACGCCCTTGAGCACGAGCTCGCCGGCCTTGCCGCTCTCGAGCTTCGCGCGGCTCGCGTCGAGGTCGACCTCGTTCCCGTCGACCTCCAACCAGACGCGCGTCGCGCCGCCGCGCACGTCGAAGTCGCCGGGCTTCACGCGCATGCTGTCCTCGTCCACCTCGGCGCCGCGCGCGTCGTGGAACGTGATGACGAGGGGCTCGAGGTCGCCGCCGAGCTCGACGTGCTGGTCGCGCCGGCGCTTGCCCTTGAGCTCGACGCGGAGCTCGAGGGGCTCCGACGGCTGGAGCTTCACCGCTAGACTCCGGGAGAAGGCGGGCTCGCCGCGGCGCATGCAGTCCGGGTCGTCGCGCTTGCAGAGCTGGTCGAGGCTCAGGGGCGCCTTCGCGGCCTTGCGGCCCTCGCGCTCGACGTCGCACAGACGCGTCCAGATCTTGCCCGGCGCGCAGCGGACGCGCGCGAAGAGCTCCCAGACGCCGACGGCGTCGAGGGGCTCGGGCTTCTCGAGGGCGAAGGCGCCGTCGACGCAGGGCGCCGTCGCGACGACGACCTCGTCGCCCGACGGCGGCTGCGCGACGAGCTCGAGCTCGACGCCGGCGGCCTGGAGCCCCTTCTTCGTCGTCTTCGTCGTCAGGGAAAAGACGAGGGGCGGCACGGTCGTGTGCGAGTACATGGTGTTCGTGAAGTCGTCGAAGGCCGAGGCCTTCCAGCCCTGCTCGGCCTTGGGCACGTCGTGCTCGCCGCAGCGGAGCGCGTGGACCTTCGCGGGGAACTTCTTCGCCGCCTCCTTGACGGCGTCGTCGCCGCCGACGACGTCGACGATGGCCGCCGACGGGCAGGCGACGAAGCTCTCGTGCCACCAGGCGCCCGGCCCCGCGTCCTCGAGGCGCTCGAGGTCCGCCGCGTCGCAGGGGAAGTCGACGTCGCCGGACGGCAGCAGCGGGCTCGCGGCGACGAAGAAGCCCGGCGCCGTCGCGTCCTGGGCGTCGCAGAAGAAGGCGACGACGCGGCCGAAGCCGAGCTCCGGCGCCTTCTTGCCCGGGCCCTTGATCTCGTAGGACACGTGGAGCCCCGATTCCAGATCCTTGCCGCGGTAGAGCAGCTTCCCGCAGCGCCGCAGGATGCCGTCGCCCCGGAAGTCCATGACGTAGGACGAGTCCTCCGTGTGGGGGTAGTTCTCGTCCTCGTCGAAGGCCTTGGTCCACTCGAGGCGCTGCTCGACCTCGAACTTCCGGAGCTTCTTCAAATGCGCGTCGGCCTCGCGGGGTTCGTGTAAGGCGCGGTAGCCCTCGTCCTTGTCCCGGAGGTGGCGCTTGTGGATCTCCGGCGCGAAGAGGCGCGTCGACTCGAGGAAGAGCAGGTTCGTCACGCGCGAGTCGATCTTCTCGTCGAGCCGCGCGTCGTTGCGCCGGCCCTTGGCCTCGCGCGGCCGCGCGAACCAGGGATACAAGGTCTCGTCGCGGAGGTAGAGCCCGTTCCAGAAGACGAGGCACCGCGCGCCCGCGAGGCACTCGGGCATCGTCGACGCGCCGCCCATCGTCGGCCAGTAGAGGCTCAGGTGCTTCACCGTCGCCACCTCCGCGCCGTCCGCGTCGTCGAGGCCCAGCGCCGTGACGCGCGCGAGGCGCTCCGCGTCGTCGCGGCTCCGCGCGAACAGGGCCGCGTCGGCGACCTTGTTGGCCACGGCGCCGCCGACCGTCGCGCCGGACACGCCCAGGTCCGCGCCGTCGACGACGAGCCCGCAGAGCCGCCGCGTCGCCGCGGCCTCGGGCAGCACGCCCAGCGCCTCGAGCCAGGACCGCGCGGCGTCGCCGGCCGCGCCCGCCGTGTGGAGCACGTACTTTTCCGCGAGGTGCGCGAGGTGCGTGTCGCGGTTCGCGTCCCAGTCCTCGAAGAACGCGGACCCGACGTTCGTGATCTCGACGCAGGTGAAGTGGGCGTCGTTGAGCTTCTTCCCGAAGACCGTGTTGACGCGCTTGATCTCGAGCGCCGCCTCGCGCGACCCGTGGCGGTAGGCCGCGTAGTCGTACTCGATCTGCTTCTTGTGGATCATCTTCGCCATGTCCTGCGCGAAGACGACGACCTTGGCCACGCCCTTGGCGACGGACGTGAAGCGGACCTGCGTGGTCGTGCCGTGGAGCTGGCTGAAGCGGCCGACGCCGTAGCGGCCCCAGGGCGCGTCGAGCGCGCCGAAGGGCCGCGACCCCCGGCCCGCGGCGACGGACCTGCGCGCGGCGACGGGTTCGCGCGAAATATAAGACAATGGGACGCCGGCGGCGGACTTGAGGGGCCCCTTGACGGGCTCCTGGATGGAGTCGTCGCGCACGGTCGACGCGCCGGGCTTGGCGATGGCCTCGACGAGCTCCGGCGGGATGCCGTCGCCGTCGTCGAAGATGAGGATCTTCCCCTCGTCCCGCACGACGGCGATCTCGACGACGGTGGCGTTGTGCTGCACGGAGTTCTCGATGGACTCGCTGAGCATGGTCGTCGTGTCGACGCCGGAGTTGATCGTGTTGGACACGAGGCCGACGTGCGCGGACGCGACGACGTCGGATCGCTCGAAGGTCTCGTCGTCGTCGCAGCCGTGGCGCTTCAGGACGACCGTGCGGAAGGGCCGGCGCTGCTGGTCCTGCTTGATCCACGCGAGCGGCGACACGCGGATGGCCGCCGCGGGCGCGCCGTTCTCGTCCTCGAGCGCGAACGCGCGCGCCGCGTACGTGCTCGTCGCCGCGGCCCACGCGCCCACGTCGTCCCACGTCGTCTGCCGGTCGACGTCGCGCCGGGCGTGCAGGACCACCTTCTTCCCGTCGACCCGCGCCGGGGCGTGGTACTGGAGCTGGATCTCGAAGGAGAGCTCCATCGCGTCGCGGTTCGCTGTCGCGGGCGCGGCGCGAACGATCTCGCGCCGTGCGCACGCGAATGCGTCGAGGGCTCTTTAGACCGCGTACCTCGAGAGCTATGAGGCCGAACCCGCGTGCCTTCACGTACCTCGCGCGCGCGCGCGGCGGGTAGGTCGAGCTGAGCGGGACGATTCCGCAGGGGCGCGGCGGCGCGCGCGCGAGCCGATCGAGATCCGCTCGGGCATGGCTCAGCTGCTCTCGCCGGCCCTGAGATAAACTGACGCCATCCTAGTCGACACGTTGATATGGAGTCGCCCGCGAACATCCAGGTTGGCGCTGAAAAGCAGTTGTCAGCGAAACAGCTGAAAGACCTACGAGAAAAGAGTCGACGCTTTTACGATCGGCTCATCCAAGTTCTTCACTTGAGACACTGCCGGGCCTGGCTCACTGAAGACGTTAGACGAATGTATGACGATGAAGAACCTGATGCCGACGACTTCGACGTTCAACTCGCCTGCATCTGCCAGCGCGTGGTAGAACGCGTGGGGTACAGCCTCGAACGTCTGCTCTATTATTTCGACAACGGAGACGAGCTCATCGAGTACCTCGGTCTCGATGAACCGATCGAATTTCAAATTGGTAACGTACAACATGGTGATGATGTCTACTTCGAGACAGTGCGTGTCGGGGAAGAGGCTCGACGCCGTTTCGTGGCCGCCTGGCTGCGTCTGAAGGCGCGCGGCTTGCCGCCGCCCGGTCTGACCTTGTGCGCATGTCATTGCTGTGACGTGCTTGATTCTGTGACGGGGATCGCTGGTTTCGGGTTGTTCCAAGCCGACGACCGCGCCTACGCCGTGGCCTGCGTCAACATCCACGGCGAGACGCTGTCCTACTTTTCCCACCGCCTGCGCGACGACGTTGACCTCGTCAAACAGGCGGTGCGACGTTCGCCAGCAGCTCTTGGCTTCGCTTCGAAGCGACTCCGCGACGATGAGAGCGTGGCGCTGGCCGCGGTGCGGTCAGACCCGCGGGCGGCCCTGCGCTTCGTGTCCAAACGACTCTGCGCGTGCGCGGACTTCAGGCGCAAATTGCTCTTGACCGCGCGCGTGATCCTGCTCAGCGCGCGTGTCCCGGGCTCCGTCGCGGCGCACATCGAGTCCTATCGCACGGGCGATCTCAATCTCGACTTCACGCGGTCCGGCAAATACCGGACAGCTCTGGCGGTACGCGCTTCCCCTGGAGAGCCGAGGCCGCGCGATCACTATAATCCTTTTTAGCTGTAGCGCGTGTCACTCGAGGGTGTGGACGCGCGCACCATCAAAATGTTCAAAAACGAGGAAACTGTGCTTCAACAACTACCGATTTGTAAATCGCATGCGATAGGCATTGCGATAGCTGCCCCAAATCCGCGTGCCCGAGCCGCCCGAGTACTCGCACCCATGCCGTCCGGCGGCCATCGCAGCGAGCGGCGGCGGTCGCACCGCAAGTCGAAGAAGACGCCGCCCGCCGCCCAGGCGCCGCCGCCGCCGCCGCCGGCCGTGGTTCACTACACGTGCTTCCAGTGCGACCCCTTCCACTCCTCCGCGCCGGCGCCGGAGGAGACGGCGGTGGCCGCCGTCGTCGCGGAGCAGTACGTCTTCGACGAGGAGAAGGTCGACGGCAAGGACGAGGCCGGCGACGAGGAGGCAGACGCCGGCGCCGCGGCCGCGGCCGACGGCGAATCCGCCGGCGACGCCGAGCCCCCGGCGCCCCCGGCGGCCGTCGAGGAGGTGGACGTCGCGGAGCCCGACGACAAGGCCGCGCACGACGTCGACCTCTTCCTCGTCGACGAGGACGGCGAACGGCGGAAGGAGATGGTGACGGACTTCGTCGAACGCGCGTCGACGATGTACTACGCGAGAATTCAGAGCGAGCTCCTCGCGGGCCCCGACGACAAGCCGCTGCCCTGGGACATGGTCCTCATGGTCGCGACGGTGAGTTTGACGATGATCGCGTCCATGCTCTGCATGACGACGGTGCGGAGCGTCGTCGACGAGTACATGGAGTGGGAGGACGACGCGGTCTTCGGGTTCGGCAACCGGCCCTACTACACGGTCTGGACCCACATCTGGCACCTAACCGCCGGCATCCCCATCCCGACGGCCGTGTCGCTCATGATGGTCGTGGTCATGGCGACGCTGTCGACGGTGGAGCGGCTCAAGGACGACCACGTGATCTGCTGCCTGATCGCGCGCGAGCTGCTGAACAAGCGGCGCTACGCGACGCGCGTGTTTCTTGTGCGCCTGGATCCACGTGCTGCGCATCTGCCTGACGATCTCCTACCTCAACGCGACGACGTTCCTCATCGGGTCCGCGGACGGGCCGCTGAACATCATGCTCAACGCGTTGGCCGTCGGCTTCCTGCTGTGCCGAAACCAACCACTGGTTTGGGTGGTCCTGACCAAACTTGAGAATTCTCTAGCTCGGTCAAATCAAAGTCGATTCGGCTGATTTTTGGACGGATCGATCGCTCTCGTCGAGTTCTCGAAGCCCAGCCGAAGAGCTTGTGTCAAAACATTCGAATACGCTCACATTGAAGTCGGGTTGAAGATTTGGTTTCGGCACAGGCTTCCTGCTCGAGTTCGAGGCGACGCTCGCGGACTGCTCCTGGCGCGGGCTCGTGCCCCACCGCAAGTCCGTGGAGCGGCGCTTCGAGGTGCCGCGCGAGCTCTTCGAGGGCGTCGTCGACGACATCCTCAAGCTCAAGAACGCCGCGTCCGTCTCCCGGCGCGCGTCGCGCGTCCTCGTCGCGGCGATCGGGTCCTGCGTCGCGACGACGGCCTGGCTCATGCAGGAGCGCGTCGCCGACGGCCGCGCCTTCCACACGGGCCACACCTCCCTGATCATCCACGGCTTCGACGCCTTCGTCGACTACGACGTCGCATCGCACGCGCTCGTCGGCGGCGATCTCGCGATGACGTTCGCGTGCTCCCTCGCCGTCATCCTCGCCACGGCGCCCGTCCTCAAGGCGGGCACGCACCACAAGGCCCTCTTCCTCCGCGTCCTCCTCCTGCACTACGCCGTGTGCTTCGGCACCTACACGATCCTCGTCCACGTCCTCTTCGACAGGACCGTCCTCGTCCTCAAGGACAACTCGCTCTCGGAGAGGCACGCGGGCACGCGCTTCGACACCTACGGCAAGAGCGGCAGGCGCTGAGAAAGCCGGAGGCGCTCGACGTCACCTGCCGACCGACGCTTGCCGCCCGTAAGCACCCTGCTCAAAGAGCACCGGCAGCCCGAGCGGAAGCCGGGACTTGAGCCGGGTTGGACTTCAGCTTCCACTGTTCCAGCCAATGGTGCCGGGCGAAACTGCAGGCTTCAGAGAAGCAAGCTATGTCATAACGTCGAAGTGCCGCTGCGATGGACGACGACGACGACGCCCGCGCGCAGCGCCAGTCCTTCGCGGCGCCGGCGTGGCAGCGGCGGGCGAACGTGCCCTACATCACGACGAGCGCCCAGGACGGCGGCGCCTACGACGACCTGAGCGGCTACGACAGCTCGAGCCAATTGAACGTGGGCAGCTCGCCCGGCTCGAGCACGGTGTCGAGCCGCAACCCGTCGCGGCCGCCGTCGGCGTCGCGGCCCGCGGGCCGGCCCGAGAGCGGCCGCGGCCGGCCGCGGACCTTCTCGGGCCTCGACGCGGCGGGCGAGCCGCGACTCCGGCGGTCGTTCTCCGAGGGCGACGACGTCCGGGACAAGACGCCCCTGCGCGGTGCGCGCGACTGGGCGGGCCACGACCCGGCGCGGGGCACGGCGAGCAGCGACGACGTCGGCATGGTGCTCGGCTCCGACGACGGCGCGGAGCCGTCGCCCGACAGGGCCGAGTCGTCGCGGTCGCTCGCGACGGTGATCCGGGGCGCGCGCGCGGAGCGGCCCGAGCGGCCCGAGCGGGCGCCGCGCGTGAGCCGCACGGCGGAGCTCCAGGAGGAGGCCATCGAGGCCGCCGCGGCGGCCTTCGCGAGCACGCGGGACTTCGCGGAGGGGTCGCGCGGCACGGCGCCGGAGGAGACGTACCACGACGACTACGCGACGATCCACCGCGCGCGGCGGCGGAGCTCGCTGCACGCCACGCGCCAGCGGCGCGTCAGCGACGCCATGATGCGCGAGGACATCCTGCGGGAGATGCGGCTCCGCGGGCAAAACATCGTCAACGACCTCACGGACCAGACGAAGCGCCGCGACGCGCGCGTCCGCGCCGCGGTGGCGCTCCAGACGGCGTCGCGTGTGGTCGCCGCGCGACGCGAGACGGCGCCCCTCTTCCGGGCGCTGAAACGGGTGAAGGCCGCGACGCGGCTCCAGGCGGCCGCGCGGCGCCGCGACGCGGCGTCCGAGGCCGCGCGGCGCCGCGAGTACGAGGCCTACGTCGCGACGCTCGCGCTCCGCTTCCGGGAGACGCGGGCGCTGGAGAAGGTCCAGTCCTGGGCGCGCCGCGAGGCCGCGTTGCGGGCCACGCGGCGGTCCCTGCTCGTCTACGGGGACCTGATCGGGAAACTGATCCGCGAGCTCGCGGCGTCCGAGGCGCGCGACTGGGCGTCGGAGCGGCGGTCGACCTACATTTTGGACACGGCGGCGACGCGGAGCCGCGCGTCCGCGAGCCGCGGCGGCCGCCTGCCGTCGCGCGACGAGACGCGGACCCGCGCGCCGCGGTCGCCGGAGCGGACGCCGGGCCGGCGCCTGTCCGTGAGCGCCGGCGACGACGGCGGGAGCCTGTCGTCGGCCTCCGCCAAGACGCCCGCGTCGCCGCCGGCGCGGAAGCGGCCCCTCGGCTCGTCGCTCGCGAAGTCGCAGGCGTTCCGGCCCTTCGCGTCCCATTTTCTGAAATTGAAGGCATTCGCGGGCCAGGGCGCGGCGTCGGCGCCCCTCGCGCCGACGGTGACGCGCCTGAGCCGCGCGGCCGCGCCGGCACCGGCGCCCGCGCCGTCGCCGCGGCGGCCCAGAGCCGCGGAGCCCAGGGCAGGACAAGAGAGCGAAATTCCCAACCTCAAAGGCTCATATCTCGGCCGTTTTCCACTCGTTTTGGCTAATTCTTGGACGAGCGATCATCTCTCGGAACGGTCTCGAAGCGTAGATGCTTTTTTTGGAACGCGCGCGCGCGAAACACTCACGTTGAAGCGACGTTGAATCACCCTTGTCCTGCCCAGGCGGAGCCCGAGACCGTGGACCTCCGCGACAAAGATTTAGAGACCTGGGTCTCGGCGCTGTCCTGGGACGGCGAGGTGGCCCCGGAGCTCCTCGAGGCGGAGCGCGAGGGCAGGAACGCGTTCCGGGGCCCGCGGAGCGCGCCGCTCCCCGGCGCGCCGCGCCTCGAGGCGCCGAGTTTATGGGACGCGACGTGCGCGCGCGCGACGACCGCGCCCTACGGCAAGTCCCTCGCGGAGCGGTCCCTGGGCACGACGGTGTCCGGCTACCTCAGCGACGCGGGCAACCGGCGCCTCGTCGAGGCCCACGACCGGCCCCTCTGCACCGTCACGTGGCTGCCGCCCGCGGCGCCCGAGCCCGTCGCGACGCGGTCCGCGCGCAACTCCTTCTCCGGCCTCGAGTCCATCCAGGAGTCGACGCTCTTCGGCGGGCCGTCGCTCGCGACGCGGCTCACCGTCGAGACGGCCAAGGCCCCGAAGCGCACGGGCGCGAAACGGCCCGCGACGTCCTACTCGCGCGCTTTGGAGAAGTTCGTGCCGCCGGCGGTCGCGGCGCCGGCGCCGCCGGCGCTCCACGTGCGGCGCTTCCGGCCCACGGAGGTCTTCACCTACGGCGACGGCGGCGCGCCGCGGCGCTCCGAGGTCCAGAACTACCGGCCGAACGTCTTCCGGGGGAAGGCGACGGCGCCGCTCGACGTCGCCAAGGTCTGTGTGGAAATCAAATCTTCAACCCGACTTCAATGTGCGCGTATTCGAATGTTTTGACACGAGCACTTCCGCCGTGCTTCGAGAACTCGCTGAGAGCAATCGATCCGTCCAAAAATCAGCCGAATCGACTTCGATTTGACCGAGCTAGAGAATTCTGAAGTTTGGCCCCGACGTCCCAGCTCACTGGTTGATTTGCACACAGGCCAAGGTCCGCGCCGCGCGGCCCTCGAAGCACCGCTCCGTGAGCCACCACGCGAAGCGCATCCACGACGTCATGCACCGCTTCCGCACGGCGAACCACGTCGACTCGCGCCGCGCGCCCCTGCCCGAGCTGGGGAACCTCGCGGGCTTCGGCGGCGACGGCGCCGCCGCGGCGCCGCGCGCCGCGGCCGCCGCGCGGCCGCCGCCGCGGCGGCCCCGCGGGACCAGCGCCGGCGACGACGACGGGCCGCGCTACCTCCGGCCGCCGACGTTCCGCGACGAGAAGCGGCTCCACGCGCGCATCACGGCCCACGAGAACGTCGCCGGCTCGACGGGCTCCCTCGCCATGAGCGAAATCACGAACGGCGTCCGGGGGGGCTAAGGGTCTTGCGTCTCGGGTGGTCTTCTTCCGTCTTACGGGTCTTCGGTCGGGGGTCTTCGGATTTTGGGGGGATAGCGCCCTTCGGCCGGTGCGGGCGTCCTCAGGACGCCTGGCGGCGCTCGGAGCGGCCCTCGCGCGTCGTCCGCGGGACGAGCGGCGGCAGGTCCTCGTAGCGGTCCTTGGAGAAGTTGTACTTGTCGACGAACCAGGGCTTGGAGTAGGTCATGTAGAGCAGGGGCCGGTTCGCCGCGCCCTTGTTCGCGAGGCCGCGGTGCTTCAGCCGCCAGTCGAAGATGACCGCGTCGCCCGCGTGGGCCTCGAGGACGACGGGCCGCTCGTCGGCGGACCAGTCGTAGTGGGTCTTGGGCACGAACTCCGTCGCGCCCTGGCGGAGGCCCGAGTCGATCAAGGGCACGAAGACGTTGACCGCGTGCGCGGGGAGCTGCATCTCGTCGTGGACCTGTGTGGAAATCAAATCTTCAACCCGACTTCAATGTGCGACCGTTTCGACGCGAGGTTTTCTGCTGTGCTTCGAGAACTCGACGAAAGCAATCGATGCGTCCAAAAATCAGCCGAATCGACGTCGATTTGATCGAGATAGAGAGTTCTGAAGTTTGGTCAGGACCCCCCAAACCAGTGGTTGATTTCCACACTGTCGTGGACGTGGTCGCCGTCGGAGTGCCACTTCTGGCCCGCGCAGTCCGGCAGCGCCGTGATGCAGCCCGCGTGGCAGAGCCGCGCGTCGTCGCCGAGGAGGGCCTTGACCAGGGGCATCCACGCGGCGCCGGCCGCCTCGAGGAGCTGGGCCAGGCCCGGCACGACCATGTCGAAGCGGCCCCGGTCCCGCGTCTTGAAGGTCGAAAACCCGCCGTTGACGAGGTCCTCGCTCAGGTTGAGCTGGGACACGGTGTGGACGACGTCCTCGTAGTAGTCCTCGACCATGGCCTTGGCCCGGGCGACGTCCTCCGAGCGTAGCGCGCCGGGCACCGCGGCGAGGCCGTCGGCCGCGAGCCGCGCGAGCGCGGGCGCCGCGCGCGCCCAGGCGTCCGCGGCGACGCACGCGCGGCTCCTGGACCCGCCCGCGGAGTCGCCGCGGACCGTGACGTCGAAGTGGAGCCGCGACGCCACCGCCGCGACGTCGTGCGCGCCGTCGAGCGCCGCCGCGGTCCGCGCGTCCGCGCCCGCGGCCGACGCCTCCGCCGCGAGCGCGCGGACGCGGCCGAGGCGCGTGCCGAAGACGGACGCGAAGTGGTCCCGCGGCAGCCGCGCGCAGAGCCGCTCGATCTCCGCGAGCGCGCCGAGGCGGAGCGCCGCGTCGAGCGACGCGTCGACCCCGTCGTCCGCCGCCGGCGCCGCCGCGCAGCCGACGCAGCGCCAGGCCGTGCCCGCGGCGACGAAGAGCGCGCCGGGCTCGCCGACCCGGGCGCAGCGCGCGTGGTACGCGCGCGGGCACGCGCCGCAGGGCAGGAGCCGCGTCTCGCCGTCGCCGCCCTCGCCGCAGTGCACGCACGTCTCCGCGTGGCTCGCGAGGCACGCGGGGCAGTGCCACTCGTCGTCGTCGGTCGCCGCCGCGGCGGCGACGACGGCCGCGGCCGCCGGCGCGTGGTCGCCGGCCCTCGGGCGGCCCGGGCCCTTCTTCTTCCCGCCGAGGTCCTTGCCCCGCTTGGCCGCGCCGGGCGCGAACTCCGCGCCGACGTGCGTCTCGAGGCACTTGACGTGGAAGACCCGCGGGCAGCTCACGCAGCACGCGAGGTCGCCGCCCTCGTAGCAGACGGCGCACTTGTCGTCGAAGCACGCGTCGTCGTCGCGGACGCGCCGCGCGCCCCTGAGCGCGTGCGCGCGGTAGGCCCACTCGCGCTCGTCGACGCCCGCCGCCGGCGCCTCGACCCAGAACTTGACCTTCTTGCCGCCCGCGGGCGGGGGGAGCGGCGCGGGCGCGGGCGCGGGCGCGGGCGGCGCGGGCTCCTCGCGGGCCCGCTTCTTCTTGACCTCGACCTCGGGCGCGTCCGCGGCCCACTTGGCCTTGGCGCCGTCGTCGAGCGCCTTCCAGCCCGCGCCGAGCGCCTTCTGGATGAGCGCCTGCTTCTCCTTGCCGCCCGCGTCCGCGTGGTCGCGCTCGACGGCCGCCTTGGCCTCCGCGCGCGTCTCCTTGTTGTAGAACTCCTTGCCCGAGAGCTTCTTCATCACCACCTCCATGGGCGCGGCGGACGCCGGCGCGGCGGGCTTGATGGCCGCGGGCGCCGCGGGGCCGTCGAAGGCGCCCTCGAGCGAGTCTCGCTCCCTGAGCTGCTCGGCGACGATGCCCATCAACATCTCGCGCGCCGTGTCCCGCTCCGCGGCCGTGAGCGCGGGCGGGGGCGGCTTCGCCTTCTTCGGCTTCTTGGGCTTGACCTCGTACTCGGGCGCGGCCGCGGCCCACGTCGCCTTGGCGCCGTCGTCGAGGCCCTTCCACCGCGCGCCGAGGACCTGCATGACCTTCTGGTTCTTCTCCTGGGACGTGAGCGCCGCGTTCGCCTCGTCGGCGTCGATCTCCGCCTTGACGCCTGCGGGGACGCGGTTCCCGCGGCGCGCGTAGCGTAGGTCGATGCTTGGAGTTAGGCGCGCGCGTTCTGACGATTCGTCCGCTCGACGCGATCGCTCGAAGCCGCGTCGCGCGCGCGCGGTCGACGGACGGACGACGGAGAGGCGGCGCGACTTCGCGGATGCTTCGTCGCGGACGATTCGCGGACGCGGCGTCGCGCCGGCGCGCGTCGAGTTCGAGTAGTGCACGTAGCCGGAGAGTTTTCGCATCTTGGGAGCGTTCTCCTTGTTCTCCTCCGGTCCGTCGGTCATCGGCTCGGGTGCATTCGCGGCGTCGGACACGTCGGGCGGCGACAAGCTCACGGGCCGCGGCCCTGCGGCCGGCTCGATGAGCTCGACGAGCTCCATTTGCCAGTGGCGGTTTAGGGGGATGCAAATCTGTGCTCGAGCCGGCGAGGCCTCCGCCGAGGCTCCGGCGCTCAGCGCGCGCCGGCCACAGCAGGCCTGCCGGCCTGCGAGGCGTCCTGCGGACGGACCTCGACGGGCTCGGCGTTGCACCTCTTGCTTGAGCGACCTCTCTCTGCCTCGCTTTGGTGGTCTCGGGGTCGTCCCAGCCCAGCCTAACCGAAGCCTAACCTCCCGCTCGAGAGTTGGAGTCGGTCGCGACCTCCCGCGATAGTTCCCGCGAGACGACTCGGGAAAACCGCCGACGAACCTCCTTACGAGGTCCCGGACCCTAGATCGGCAGCGCGACGCCCTCCTTGTTGCCCGTGCTGATGAAGTACTCCTTGGAGAACGTCGTCGCGGTGAAGCACGGGTTCGGGTGCGGCACGGTGCCGACGGCGGACATGGTCGCGAGCGACTCGACGGGCTCGCCGACGACGACGGGGACGATGTTGTCGCTCTCCTTCGCGCCGTCGATCAGGGCGATGTCGACCATGGGCAGGACGTCGAAGGCGTACATGACGAAGGCGGCCTGGAACGACTTGGCGAGCTTGACGTACTGGCACCAGCCCGAGTAGTAGCGCTTGATGCGCTCGCCCGTGCCGCCCGACATCTCGCGGATGAGCTCGCTGCGCCCGCCGTTCTGCTTGAACTGCGACGCGCGGGAGAGGGCTGTTGTTGTGTGTGTGGTCGCGTCGCGCGGCCCGACGGCGTGCGCGCGGCGGCGCGCGCGTCTCGCGCGGCCCGACGGCGCGCGCGCGCGCGATGGACGCGGGCCGCGACCTTGAAGCCTGGAACGTTCTTGCGCGGCGCGAAGAACGCGATGGCGCCCTCGATGGGCGTCTCGCTCCAGTGCACGAACAGCGTGCCTTGCGACGCGGCGTCAAAGGTGAGGTAGCAGCCCTTCGTGCCCAGCGTGGACATGTCGAAGGACGCCATTACGCTCGGAGAGCGGTGCTGGCTGGAGTTGGTGGTCTTGTCCGAGGCGGCGCTTGGCTGCGGAGACTTGCGGAGGAGCGGGACGGTGCAAGGTCGACAGTGCCGTTGTTGCCTCGGGCTCTCGGCGTCGTTGGGCAAGCCCGCGCCAGTTGCCTCGCGCCGCGCGCGCGCCGTCGCCACCGGAAGCACGCACCCGTGCTCGCGAGGCCGCCCCCGACCATGGCCGCGCTCATGAACATGCTGCGCCGGTCCACGTCCCCCGACGCGGACCTCGCGGGCTTCGAGGAGGAGGAAGCCGACGCGTCGACGTTCCTGCAGCGCGCGCCGCCGCCGCCGGCGTCGCGGCCCGCGCCGCCGCCGCCGCCGGCGCCCGCGCGCGGCACGCCGACGAGCCGCGCCAAGGCCTGGGGCGCGCCGACGCCGTCGCCGCGCGCGCCGAAGACGCCCAAGTCCGTGCACTGGTCGCCGACGATGGCCAAGGGCAAGCGCGTGCCCCTGTCGCCCGTGCAGAACCTGCAGAAGCGCGCCTCGCCCGCCAAGGCGGCGGCGCCGCAGGAGCTGCCCGCGTTCACGGACGCGCAGCGCGCCGCGGCCAAGGAGAAGCGGCGGCGGCGGCGGACGACGGGCTTCACGGCGGCGGACGTCGAGTCGGCGCCGGCGCGCGTCGGCGACCTCCACATCCCCGCCTTCGACCCGTCGACGCCCAAGGGCAAGAAGAAGACCAAAAAACGGACGCCGCCGCGGGACCCGAACGCGACGCCGCCCGAGGTGCGGTCGCTGCGGAAGCGCGTCGCCGCGCTCGAGAGCCAGCTGAGCGCGAACGCCGCCGAGGCGACGGCGGGCGCGCCCGTGGAGTTTTCGCGGAGCCTCGACGACGTCAACGACGCCCTCGTCGCGGCCGTGAGCGCGATGATGGCCGCGTTCGCGCTCGACTACGGCAACGCGCACGAGTTCGAGGCCGTCGTCGAGGGCCTGAGCGCCGAGGCGGGCGCGCACCCGGAGCGCGTCGCGCGCGACGTCGCGGAGAAGGAGCAGTGGATCCTCGACGAGACGGCGGACCGGGGCCCCGCGGCCGTCGCGCTCCGCGCGCTCCGGCGCCTCGTGCCCGCGGACATCTGGGACGAGGGCGCGTCCGCCGAGGACCTCGAGGCGCGGGGCCTGCCGCGGGCCCTCGCGCGGCGCGTCGCGGGCACGCGCGCGCTCTGGCTCTGCCGGCGCCACCCGGACGACGTCGCGAAGCTGCACGCGGCGACGCTCGTCCAGGCGTGCGCGACGATCACGCTCGACTTGTTCGAGGCGCGCGCGGTCCGGGGCAGGAAAAGAGAGCGACATGCCCAACTTCAAAGGCTCCTATCTCGGCCGTTTTCCACTCGTTTTGGCTGATTTTTGGACGAGCGATCATCTCTCGGAACGGTCTCGAAGCATGGACGCTTTTCCCGGAACGCGCGCGCGGGGAACACTCACGTTGAAGCGAACTTGAATCACTCTGTTCCTGCCCAGGCGCCGTCTGGCACGTCGCGCGCCGCGCGCCGTTCTCGCGCCACGACGCGGACGGCAAGAAGCGCGCGTGGTTCGACGAGCTCGAGCGCCGGTGCCGCGCGCTCGCGGACAAGGAGGCCGCGGGCACGCTGTCCGCGCGCGACGCCAAGCACCCGGCCTACGGCGCCTACGACCGCCACGGCCCGCCGCTGCCGGGCTGCGCGGACGTCGACTCGCCGGAGCGCTGCGCGCGCGCGACGAAGTGCGGCGCCTACGATCCGACGCCGCAGCACCCGAAGTACGCCAAGCCCGCGCCCGCGGACGCCCAGGCGCAGCTCGTCGAGGCCATCCGCGCGTCCAAGGACGCGGAGCGCCGCGCGCCGCCGCGCCGCGCGTCCGTCGGCGCCGCGCCCGCCGCCGCGCCCGCCGCGGCGCCGGCCCCCGCGGCGCCGCGCCCGCCCAAGGGCCTGAGCCTCGCGGGCATCTTCGGCGTGCCCCAGTCGCCCGAGGAGATGCAGCTCAAGCCCAAGGAGAGCGCGGAGATCGGCGAGCCCACGCCGTCGAAGGACGACGACGCCGCGGCCGCGCCCGTCGTCTCCGAGTCCTCGGACATCGCGGAGCCCACGCCCCGCAAGGAGCCCGCCGCCGAGCCCGCGCGCGCCGCGGCGCCGGCCGTCGCCGAGCCCGCCGCGCCGGAGGCCGCCGTGCCGCCGTCGCCGCTCGACCGCGCCGCGCTCGCGCTCGACCGCGCCGCGCTCGCGCTCGACGCCGCGGCCGGCGGGCCGACGCCGGCCAAGGCGCCGAGCCCCGCGGCCGTGTCCTTCACGCCGGGCTTCGCGGAGGTCGTCGACACGGAGGAGCCGGAGCCCGTCGCCGAGGCGCCGGAGGTCGCCGAGGCGCCCGCGGCGCCGGAGCCGGAGGTCGCCGCGGCGCCCGCCGCGCCGGAGCCCGTCGTCGAGGCGCCCGCCGCGCCGGCGCCGGAGGTCGCCGCGGCGCCCGCCGCGGCGCTCGCGCTCGACGTCGAGGCAGTCGGTCCGACGCCCGCCAAGGCGCCGAGCCCCGCGGCCGTGTCGTTCACGCCGGGCTTCGGCGACCTCGGCGGCGCCGAGCCCGCCGAGGAGCTGCCGCCGGCGGGCGTCGGCGCGCCGACGCCGCGGCGCTACCGCGCGGCGGCCAAGGCCGCGCTCTCGGCGGACGTCGCGCCGCCGACGCCCTTTGTCGCGACCGTCAAGGCCGTCGCGCTCCCCGCGCCGGCCGCGCCCGCGCCCGCGCGGAAGCGCGCGAGCGACGCCTGGTGGCAGAAGAAGGTCGAGGCCGCGGCCAAGTCGCGCGGCGACGCTGGCCGCGCGGCGCCCGCGGCGTCGGGCCTCGCCGCGAGCCTCGCGGAGGCGCTCAAGACGCCGCACCCGGCGGAGAAGCGGCCCGCGCCCCGCGCCGCCGCGGCGCCCGCGCCCGTCGCCTGCGACGACCCGGCGCTCGCGGAGTTCCTCGCGGCCGCGACGCTGACCGCGTACGCCGCGGGCGTGCTCACCGTCGCTGAGTCGATCCACGACCTCGAGGAGATGACCGACGCCGACGTCGACGACCTCGCCGCGGACATCAAGCTCCCCAAGCTCAAGGTCCGCAAGTTCAAGGCCGCGCTCGCCGCGCTCCGCGCGGCCAAGGCGCCGGCGAGCCCCGCCCCCGAGTACATCTAGGGGGCGCGCCACCCCGCTCCCCCGATTTCCCCGCACCCCACTTACAGAACGCCTGCTTCTCCTTTACGTCCAGCCCCCGCGCGATCACTTGGCTTTCAGGGCCTTGGAGTCACCCTTGCATTCTTCTTGCCTGAGTTTCTTGAAGAAGGCGGCTTACGGGGGCCGCGCCCCGTCGGCACCCCGCTCCCCCCTTCCTTACGACCTCAGTCGACCGCCTCGACGAGGCACTTGGTCGAGACCCAGCCCCCCGCGAGCAGCCTCGCGCGGTCCGCGGCCCGCTCGACGACGGCGACGTCCGCGCGGCCGGGGACCACGCGGAGCTTCGCCGAGTCGAGCGCGGCGCCCTCGCGGACGATGGCGCCCTTGGCCCGCGTGCGGACGACCTCGAGCGCCGCGAGCGGCGGCCGCGGCGGCGGCTCCGCGGCCGTCAGCGGCAGCCCCGCGGCGCGCCACGCGTCTAGGCCGCCTTCGAGCCGCGCGAGACGAGCCGGGTGGACGCCGGCGACCTCGACGAGCGCCGACATGGCCATGAGGTCGCGCGACGTCGACTGGCCCTCGGAGCCGCCCGTGTTCGCGTACGTCAAAATGCCCCGGCCGCTCGCGGCGAGCCGCTCGAGCGCCGGCCGCTGGGATTCGAGCGCGACGACGAGGCTCGCGTAGCAGAGGCTCGCGGCGCCGGGCAGGTGCGCGCGCCCATAGTCCTGCGCCGAGCGCACGTCGACGACGACCCACTCGTCGCCGTGCGCCGCGAGGAGCTCCTGCGCGTACGCCGGCGCGAACTGTGGGATTGCTGTGGGATCCACCGACGAGTAGAGGCCGTAGGTCGACGAGAGCATTTGGGCTACGACGGCGCGCGGGCGCCTCGTCTCCTTGTGGGAGCACGCGACCGCGGCAGCGTTGGGTCCGACGGCGCGGGCTACGATGCGCCGGCGCCCATGCTGCTTCGGGGCTGCATCGACGCCAATGTTGATGCCGAGTTTGATGCTCGCGCTGCCGTCATCGACTGCCACAGTCGACGACGCCAAGCTCCTCGTCGGGACGCACTGGTCGTGTGCGCCGCGCCGCGAACGCCGTCGCGCGCGGACGCCGGGCCGCTAAAGCCGTCGCGCGCCGCCGATGACGAACGAGGGCAACGCCTGCTTCGGCGGGACGCTCGTCGTGCTCCTCATCACGGGCCTCGTGCTCCACGGCAAGACCGCGGCGCCCGCGTCGTCGTCGTCGTCGAAATCCGGCGGCGGCGTGCTGCCCCACGTCGTGCACTACCCGGACCCGACGCCGCGGCCGACGGCGCGGCCCGCGCCCGCGCCGACGCCGCGGCCGACGCCCGCGCCCGCGCCCGCGCCGTCGCCCGAGCCGACGCCCGCGCCCGTCGCCGCGCCGCGGAAGAAGGGCGGTTCGTCGTCCATGACGCGCCGCAGCGCCGGGCTCCGATGGTGGCGCATCATGTTCGGCATCGTCGGCCTCGGCGCGTTGATCTTCGCGCTCGCGCGGAGCCGCGTGTCGCCCGAGGAGCTCGGCGGCATCCTCATGTCGCCCCTGCGCATGGCGAACGACCGCATGGGCGACTACGTCCAGGTCTAAAAGCCCGGCGCGCTTGGACGCTTCAGCGGGGGCCGCGGCGCTCCTTGGGCGGCGCGCGCGGGGGCTCTTTGGGATTTTCGCTTGGGCCGGGGGGGGTCCTAGAACTCGCCGGCGTAGAACTCGTCGAGGTGGCGCACCGGGAGGGGCGCGTCGCGGTTCAGGTGGCGGTAGAGGGACTCGACGAAGAGGTTCGCGCACTTCTCGTTCGTGAGGAGGCCGACGCCGAAGGAGATCGCGCCCGTGCGGAGCTTGTAGCCGTTCGTCTCCGCGGAGCCGTCCTCCGTGACGTCGTTGAGCTTGTTCGACGACGGCACGTTGATGCAGAAGACGACGTCGCCGTCCTTGAGGGCCTCGCAGGCCGCCTCGGCCCACTCGGCGCCCCCGGCGACGGTCTCGCAGGGCACCTTCATCGCGTTGAAGGCCTTGGCCGTGCCCGGCGACGCCAGCAACTTGAAGCCGAGCTCGGCGAGCATGGCCGCGTGGGGCGCGAAGTCCGACGCGTTGGAGATGGAGAGGAAGACCTGCTTGCCCGCCGCGGCGTGCGCCTTCGTCGGGATCTTCGTGCCCGCGCCCTCGAGCGCGAGGAGGTAGGCCTCGTAGACGTCGGCGCCGAGGCAGGCGACCTCGCCCGTGGACGCCATCTCGACGCCCATGATGGGGTCCGCGCCGCGGAGCCGCGTGAACGAGAACATGGCCGCCTTCACGGCGACGTAGTCGATGTCCATGAGCGAGATCTGGTAGGGCCGCGCGGGCACGCCGAGCATGACGCGCGTCGCGAGGGAGATGAAGTTGGCGTTGAGCGTCTTCGAGAGGAAGGGGAAGGACCGCGACGCGCGGAGGTTGCACTCGATGACCTTGACGTCGTTCTCTCGCGCCATGAGCTGTATGTTCACGGGGCCCGAGATGTTCAGGGCCTTGGCGATGCGCGCGGCGATGCGCTTCACCTGCTTCTGGGTCTGGACGTAGAGCTTCTGCGCGGGGAGCACCAAGGTCGCGTCGCCCGAGTGGACGCCCGCGTTCTCGACGTGCTCCGAGATCGCGTAGTTCAAGACGTGGCCCTCCTTGCAGACGGCGTCGAACTCGATCTCCTTGGCGTTGCGGATGAACTTGGACACGACGACGGGCCGGTCCGGCGACACGGCCGACGCGTCGCCGAGGAACTGCGCGAGCTCCGCGTCCGACGTCGCGACCTTCATCGCGGCGCCCGAGAGCACGAACGACGGCCGCACGAGCACGGGGTAGCCCACCTCCTCGGCGAAGGCCTTGGCGTCCGCGACGGACTGGAGCTCGCGCCACGCCGGCTGGTCCACGCCCAAATCGTCGAGCATCGCCGAGAACTTGTGGCGGTCCTCCGCGCGGTCGATGTCCGTCGGCGACGTGCCCAAGACGCGGACGCCGTTGTCGTGGAGCGGCATCGCCAGGTTCTGGGGGATCTGGCCGCCCACGGAGACCACCAACCCCCAGGCGGCCTCCTGCTCGTAGATGTCGAGCACGCGCTCGAGCGACAGCTCCTCGAAGTAGAGGCGGTCGCTGACGTCGTAGTCCGTCGACACGGTCTCCGGGTTGTAGTTGACGACGACGGCGCGGTAGCCCGACGCGCGCACCTGGCGCACGCAGGACACGGCGGACCAGTCGAACTCGACGGACGAGCCGATGCAGTACGCGCCGCAGCCGAGGACCATGACGCCGCGGTCCTTGGGGACGACGTCGTTCTCCTCGCCGTGGTAGGTCATGTAGAGGTAGTTGGTCACGGCCGGGAACTCGGCGCCGAGCGTGTCGATCTGCTTGACCACCGGTTTTAAACCGAGGCTCAGGCGGTGGCGGCGCACGCGCGACTCGACGCACTTCGTGTAGTGGCCGATTTGGCCGTCGGAGAAGCCCGCCTGCTTGATCTTGCGCAGGCTCGGGAGGTTCAGCGCCTGGACGTCGCCCAGGCCCTCCATGGCGGAGCGGAGGCGCGCGATGCGGCGCATCTTCGTGAGGAACCAGCGGTCGATGCGCGTGAGCTCGTGGACCTTGTCCAAACCGATGCCCTGCTCGAAGGCCGCCTGCACGGCGAAGAGGCGCTGGTCCGTGGGGACCTTGAGGCGCTTCGACAGGCGCTCGTCGGGCGTGAGGTTCTCGGAGACGAGGGACGCGTCGTACTCGGCCTCGTGCTCGCCCTCGAGGCCGCGCGAGCCGGGCCGGACCATGCGCACGGCCTTTTGGAGCGCCTCCTCGAAGGACCGGCCGATGGCCATGACCTCGCCGACGGACTTCATGGCGCTGCCGAGCTTCGTCGACACGCGGCTAAACTTGCGCATGTCCCAGCGCGGCATCTTGACGACGCAGTAGTCGAGCGACGGCTCGAAGCACGCGGTCGTCGTGCCGGTCACGGAATTGCGGATGGACACGAGGTCCTGGCCCAGCGAGAGCTTCGTCGCCACGTAGGCGAGCGGGTAGCCCGTGGCCTTGGACGCGAGGGCCGACGACCGCGAGAGGCGCGCGTTGACCTCGATGATGCAGTACTTCTCCGTGTGGGGGTCGAGCGCGTACTGGATGTTGCACTCGCCGACGATGCCGATGTGGCGGATGACCTTGATGGCCGTGGACCGGAGCTTGAAGTACTCGCGGTTCGAGAGCGTCTGCGACGGGGCCACCACAATAGAGTCGCCCGTGTGCACGCCGAGCGGGTCGAAGTTCTCCATGTTGCAGACCGTGATGCAGTTGTCGCGGACGTCGCGGACGACCTCGTACTCGACCTCCTTCCAGCCGCGCAGGTCCTGGTCGATGAGGATCTGTTTGGTGGTGGACGTGGCGCCCTCGAGGGCGTTCTTCGCCAGGTCGATCAATTCGGCGTCGTTCTCCGCGAAGCCCGAGCCCAAACCCCCCAGCGTGAACGCCGCGCGGACGAGCACGGGGTAGCCGATCTTGTGCGCGGCCTCGAGGGCCTCGTCGACGGTGCAGGCCGGGTAGGACAGCGCCAGCGTCTCGTTGATCTCGCGGAGCTTGCCCGAGAAGATCTCGCGGTCCTCGGTCGAGATGATCGCGTCGATGTTCGTGCCTAAAACGCGGATGTCGCGCTTCTGGAGGTCCTCGTTGGCCCAGAGCTCGATGCCGACGTTTAACGCCGTCTGGCCGCCCATGGAGACGATGATGCCGTCGATGTCGCTCTCCTTGTCGAGGATCATGCGCACGTTCGCCGCGGTGACCGGTAACAAGTAGACGCGGTCCGCGCAGGCGACGTTCGCGACCTTGGACTGGGCGGCCTGGTTGACGTTGGCGAGCTGGCCGTTCGAGTCGTCCTCGCGCGACGTCTGCACCGTGGCGATGTTCGGGTTGATGAGCACGACCTCGATGCCCTCCTCGCGGAGCGCCTTGATCGCCTGCGACCCGGAGTAGTCGAACTCGCCGGCCTGGCCGATGGACAACCCGCCGGAGCCCACGAGCAGGACGCGCTTGAGCGACGCGCGGTCGTGGCGGTAGATGTTCGGGTCGAGGAGCGTGAGCTGCGGCGCGTTGCCGCGGACGAGGCGCACGAAGGACTCGAAGAGGAACGCCGTGTCGAAGGGCCCGCCCGCGGCCTCGGGGTGGAACTGGACGGAGAAGAAGGGCTTGGACGTGTGCGTGATGCCCTCGTTGGACCGGTCGTTCGCGTTGATGAAGAGCGCGCGCCAGCCGTCGGGCAGCGTCGAGTCGTCGACGGCGAAGCCGTGGTTCTGCGACGTGATGTAGCAGCGCGTCGTCCGCAGGTCGACGCAGGGCTGGTTCATGCCCCGGTTGCCGTACTTCATCTTGTACGTCGTGCCGCCGGCCGCGAGCGCGAGGATCTGGTTGCCGAGGCAGATGCCGAAGACGGGCTTCTCCTGGGAGATGGCCCACTTGAGCGACTTGATCGTCGCCGCGCATTTCGACGGGTCGCCGGGCCCGTTGGAGCAGAAGACGCCGTCCCACTCGAGCTTCGACGGGTTCGTCTCGAGGTCGTAGTCGTGGGGGACCACCGTGAGCTCGACGCCGTGGGCTTCCACGAGGTAGCGGATGATGTTGAACTTCATGCCGCAGTCGATGGCGACGATCTTCGGGCCGCCGGCGACGCCGTAGGTGACGATGGTCTTGGTGGAGACCTCGGCGACGAGGTTCCGGAGGTTCGGGTCGACGAAGTCGCCCGTGGGCTTGTCCGAGCCGACCTCGAGGCGGCCGAGCATCGCGCCGCGCTCGCGGAGCGATTTCGTGAGCATGCGCGTGTCGACGCCGAAGATGGCGGGCACGCCCGCCTCCTCGAGCCACGAGCCCAGCGACCGCGTGGACGCCCAGTGGCTCGGGTCCTCGGAGTAGCTGCTGACGACGAGGCCCGCGATCTGCACGTCCTTGGACTCGAAGTACGTCGGGAGGCCGAACGCGTCGATCTTGTCGAACGACGGCACGCCGTAGTTGCCCACGAGGGGGTACGTGAGCACGAGGATCTGGCCCCGGTAGGACGGGTCCGTGAGCGCCTCCGGGTAGCCGACCATGCCCGTGTTGAAGACGACCTCGCCGGGCATGGACTTGGCCGCGCCGAAGGACGTGCCCTTGAACGTCGTGCCGTCGGAGAGCACCTGAGAGGCGGCGAGGGTGACTGGACGTGGGTTGTTGTGTGCGCGCGCGCGAAGCGGTGCATCGCAACGGACGCCTCAGCACCAGAGGTGGTGACTGGAGGTGGCCTGCTGTCCGCGCGCGCTCCCTCGTAACGGACGCCGCGCTCGCGCCAGAGTAGCATCTACGGGTGCGGACGTCGACCGCGCGTTGCCGCCCTCGGCGCCGTCCAGAAGACACCTAGGGGATGATGTGAGCGAAAAGGAGGCCACCCCGGGCGCCGGAGGCCACGTCGCCGACGTCGACTTGGTGCTGCCGAATGGACCGGGGCTCTGGCGCCCACCGCCGGACGCCATTTGAAATGCGGCCGCGCGCTGCGGAGAGATTGCCGAGAGCGCCGCAGCAGCTCCGGCCCCGAGCGACGGGCCGCCGATGTTTATGTTCGCCCTCTGCGAGAGAGGCCTTTCTAGTTCACCACCGCGCGCAGTCGCTCTGCCAATCAGCCCTTTGAATCGCTCTCCCGCAAACTGGAGCCGCTTGGGGGATGAATGTTCAACATTGGCTTATTGAAGTCGGTTGACGCAAGCTCCAAGCCTGCGAAAGCAATCCCTGATTGGCCACCGCCAGACCGCGGACCCGCCCCCCCGTACAGCGCCTCCTCCGATGGCCAGAGCAGACGCACGCATCGCATGAGCCCGCGGCGCGGTCTCGTCGCGACCAAAGCGCGCACGCGATCAGGCCGCGCGCTGCCAGGTATGTCCCTGACGGAAATGCGCCCGCGCTTGGGTTCGGCGGGCGCGCCCGACCATGTGGCCTCCGAGGCCTCCTCGGTAAGAGATGTCCGAGGCCGAGCCGATGGCGAGCCGCGCGGGGCGGAGGCGGGCGAGGCGCGGCTCCACCGAGGTGATCCGGGAAAACCAACGAGCTTCGACGTCGCCGCGGCAACTCTCTCCTCGCCTCCAACACATATCGCGACCCCCCGACGACGCGACTCCCGAATCGCCGTCGACTCGAGGCCCGTCGACGAGCTCGCCGCGATATGCGGTCCCTCGTCGCCCTCGCCGCCCTCGCCGTCGCCGACGCCGGCAAGAAGGCCAAGGGCGAGTACTCCTGGGACCAGGCCAAGTGCCTCTTCAAGAAGCGGAAGATCGTCTTCCTCGGAGACTCGAACACGCGCTTCTTCAGCTTCCAGTTCGCGACGTTCCTCGAGAAGGGCGAGTACCGGAGCGACGACTACGACAAGTGGGGCGAGCCCGGCGACGACTACGACAAGGAGTACGAGGACGAGACGTGGACGGACTGGAGCCGCAAGTCGAAGAAGAGCGCGACGCACGCCCAGCACCTCGTCAAGACGTATGATGATCTCGACTCGCGGCACACGTTCTTCTTCCTCCAGAAGACGTGGTTCGGCGACGAGACGACCAAGGAGGAGAACATGGACGACATCGCGGCCAAGGTGAAGAAGGACAAGGTCGACATCGTCGTCATGAACAGCGGCTGGTGGGATTTGAAGGGCTGGGGCGAGAAGGACTACGACGACTGCGGCGAGGACTGGGAGGACGACTGCGGCGACGCGTACGAGCGCGACGCCGCGCGCTTCGACCCGACTTCAATCTGCGCGTATTCGAATGTTTCGACACAAGCTCTTCGGCCGTGCTTCGAGAACTCGACGAGAGCAATCGATGCGTCCAAAAATCAGCCGAATCGACTTCGATTTGCCCGAGCTAGAGGATTTCAAAGTGGTCGATTTCCACAGGCGCGACGTGAAAAAGGCCGCGGACGAGATCTTCTCGGGAGCGAAGGCCGCCGTCTGGCGCGACTGCTCCTGCTGCGGCGACGAGACGTCCCACGAGAAGTCCGTCAAGCGGCTCAACGCCATCGCCAAGGACGTCATGGACGACCGCGGCTACCCCGTCGCCGAAATCTTCGATTTGTACGGCAAGAAGGATTTGGACGACGCGACGGTCGACGGCACGCACGCGACGCCCGAGTACTACCACGCGTGGACCATGAAGATCATGACCGGCGTCGAGGCGCAGCTCAAGACGGGGTGCCTCGGGGACTCCTACGAGGACGACGAGCCCGCGAGCTGCCCGGGTCTCGAGGCCGTGGCCTCCGACGGCTGCCCCGCGGACGCGGACCTCGTGACCTGCGACGACGCGTCGTTGCAGCCCGGCGACCTCTGCGAGGGCGACGGCGAGTGCGGCACGGACAAGAAGCTCAACAACTGCCCCGACGGCACCGGCGGCGCGGAGGCCGACGTCTACGAGGTCCTCGGGGCCGACGGCGCGCCGACGACGACGCCGCGGCCCTTCGCGTTCTCGACGCCGCGGCCGTCGCGCCGCCCCACGCCGAGGCCGTCGCGAAAGCCCACGCCGCGGCCGACGCCGCGGCCGACGCCGCGGCCGACGCCGCGGCCGAGCGCGGCCGTCGCCTGCGACAACCGCGCGTCGCCGTACATGGACGCGAAGGGCTATGGTTGCACGACGTGGAACGGCCTGCTCGCGCGCTGCCGCGACGACGCGGACTGGCGCGCGGCGCAGTACTGCCGCTTCAGCTGCGATGAGCTCGGCGTCGGCTACGACGGTTTTACGTGCGCGGCGCCGTCCCCGACGCCCGCCCCTTCTACGCCCGCCCCCACCGCGCGGAACTGCCCCGTGCTCGAGGCCATCTCGTCGAACGCGTGCCCCGACGACGCGCCGCGAAGCGCCTGCGACGCCGCGGGGCTCCTGCCCGGCGACTTCTGCTCCGGCGACGGCGAGTGCGCCACGGACGAGGCGCTCGACAACTGCGGCGCCGCGGACGTCAGGGCAGCACAAGGGTGCGAAATTCCCAACTTCAAAGGCTCATATCTCGGCCGTTTTCCGCTCGTTTCGGCTGATTTTTGGACGAGTGATCATCTCTCGGAACGGTCTCGAAGCGTGGATGCTTTTTCCGGAACGCGCGCGCGCGGAACGCTCACGTTGAAGCGACGTTGAATCACTCTTGTGCTGCCCAGGCGGACGTCTACGTCGTGCTCCGCGCGTCGGCCGCGACGGCGGCGGGCTCGTCGAAGAAGTCGTCGGGCGGCCTCTCGTCGTCCTTGCTCATCGTGCTCTTCGTCGTCGCGGTCGCGTTCCTCGGCGGCGCCGTCGGCCTCGCCGTCTGCGTCTGCTGCCGGCCCGGCCGGCCGTCGAACCCTGTGCGGAAATCAAATCTTCAACCCGACTTCAATGTGCGCGTATGCGACCGTTCTGACGCGAGGTTTTCTGCTGTGCTTCGAGAGCTCGATGAGAGCAATCGATCCGTCCAAAAATCAGCCGAATCGACGTCGATTTGACCGAGATAGAGAGTTCTGAAGTTTGGTGGGGACCCCCCAAACGAGTGGTTGATTTCCACACAGGTCGAACCCGATGAAGCGGACCGCGGCGCCCGCGCGCGCGAACCCCGTGAAGGCCGGGGCGCTCGCCGAGGAGGCGCCGCCGGAGGAGGACGACGACGTGCGGCGGCTGCGCGAGCTGCGGTCCCGGCGCGACGAGCCCTGGGTCGCGTCGCGCGCGACGCCGCCGGGGCGGACGCCGGGGCGGACGCCGAGGCTCTCCGTGAGCGGCGCGGACAACGGCTACCGCGAGGACCTCGCGCGCCTCGCGCAGCTCCAGCGGTCCGCGAACCGCGGGCGCCGGGCGCCGCCGCGCGTCGAGGAGACGGAGGAAGACGACGACGCGTCGCGGCTCCGGAATCTCACGGAGCGCCGCGCGCCGCGGGCCCGCGCGCCGCCGCCCCGCTCCGCGCCGCGGGCCCGCGCGCCGCCGCCGGCGCACGACGACGCGAGCCTCTTCCGCCGCGAGGGCGCGTGGGCGTCGCTCCGCCGGTCGAGCTCGCGGCGCCGCGCGGACCGCATCCAGACCTACGCGACGGCCGTCGACGCGTTCCCCGCGGGCTTCGCCGGGGAGCTCGACCTCGTGCCCGGCGACCGCATCACGATCCTCGACTCCAACGACGACGAGTGGTGGCGCGGCGAGACGCCCGACGGCGCCGTGGGCGTCTTCCCCTGCTCCCACATCGACAACGTGTCGGCGGACCCGCGGGGCTAGGCGATGTACAGTACTCTCGTGTTCGCGGGGCGGGGGCCGTTCACGCGTGCTAGCTCGTATTAGCGAGCGCGTCCCTCAGCGCGGCCTCGGCCCGCTCGCGGTCCGTCGCCGCGACGGGGTGGAAGAGCGGCCGCGGCGGCCGCCCGGCGCCCGGCGGCGGCAGGGGCCTCTGGGCGCCCTCGAAGGCCGCGCGGCCGTCCGCGTCGACGGCGCAGACGCCGAGCTCGACGAGCATCGCGTCGACGAGCGCGGCGAAGCGCGGGTCGTTGGACCGCGCGGCCGAGAGCGCGGCCGCCGGGTCGCGCGCGGCCTCGATGCGCCGCAGGAGCGCGCGCAGGCTCGGCTCGCTCCGGAGCTCGTCGCGCAGCCACGCGCACTCGGAGAGCCGCCGGCGGTGCGAGTCCGACAGCGCGTTGCGGTCGTCGTCGCAGGCGCCGGGCCCGACGTGGCGCGCCGCGCCGCGCGCCGCGGGCCGCGCGGGCTGCGCGGGCTTCGCGGCGGCGGGCGCCGGCGCCGCGCGGGCCGCGCCGCCGCAGTCGGCCTTGTGGCGCTTGCAGCAGGCGACGCTGCAGTAGGCGACGCGGCACTTCGGGCAGGCGTAGCTCGCCCCCGCCGTCGCGCAGACGGCGCAGGGTTTGGGAATGCGCGGCATGGGTCGATGCGTGCGCTAGCCTGGCTTAGGGCGCTCTCATCTCGTCGCCTTGGGCGCTCTCATCTCGTCAAGCCACGCCCCGAGACTTTTTGGTTGCCTGCGGAGGGCTGGAAAATCGATTTTTTTTATCGACCTCGCGCGGTGGCCCCGTGTCGCCACCCGTCCAAAGCGTCCTTCAGGGATGTTGGAGCTTGTCTGCGATCATGGTAGCTCGTCGCTAGTGAAAAGTTATGCCCGAAAAACCGAGAACATACGTAGGAAGTACGCCGCGGTCCGCGGACGCCGAAAACGTACTGAAATTTTTTTCTCCGGCTTGGCTCTTCGTTGTTGCCGTCGCTGGACGCGCCGTTTGGGGCGTCCCGAACGACCCTCCAAACCCCCAGGGCCACCGCTATGGACACGCTATGCGCCGCGCAGTTCTCCGGATCTATAGAGGAACTCGGTGGATCCCGCTGCAGACCGCGGACGTGCGGATCACGGTCGTAGGACGTGGATCCAACGCTGAGGCGATGGTGCTGGTGGTAGTAGGAGTCCGTCCAGGCCGTATGGCCAGCGCACGCGCGTATTTCATGGCGCCACAGTGGCCTCGAAAGTGCCTCTTTGGAGAGGACCGGTTTGAGCGCGTTGGCGCGGATCATCCAGCCCAGCGGTCGCGTGAGGCTGCGGAGGCCTCGTCCATGTACCACTCCGCCCGGCCATATCGTTCGAAGTGGTCGGATCGACGCCAGTGGGTCCAAACGCCGCGCTCTAGCGGTTTGGCGCCTGCGAGAACGCCTTGGAGCGAGGGTGTGCCACACAGTCCTGAGTACGCTCGAACCTGACCCAAACTTGATTTTCGGTTCCCCGTGACGTTTCCGGAGGTCGCTGTCGCGAATGGGTCAGGACTCACCGTGGAGATCTCGCGCACCTCGACGACCGACCCACCAAATCGGACGTTCCGGCGCACGTTAGAACGCCGCGGCAGCGAGTCGCGCGACGAAAACTTCACGCGCGCCTTCGAGCAAGGTCTTTGGCCGAGCCCCGGACGGCGCGGCGCGGCCAACGAGCACGCGGAACCGCGCCGACGCGGCTGCCTTCGCGCAGCTCTGCGAGGCGCTGTCGTCGTCTCGAGCGTATTTTTTGTCCGACCCTCCGCAGGCAACCAAAGACTTCATGTTGACCTCGTGCACAATGTTTGCACAGATGTTGCATCCGACCGAAGGAGCATTGGCCGCGCCAGGAAGAGGCTTGACACCGTCCCCGCTAGCGCGTCCTTGCCCCCGTCGCCGTCGACGTCGATCGCGAAGACGGTATAGGCCGTGTCCGCCAGCGTCGTGACGACGCGCTCCGCGAAGGACTGGGACAACGATGAACGTGTCGCGGATGCCCCTCGGGGCCGAGCTCCCCGAGGCCCAGGCGAGCTTCCGGGAGTACGCGAGCGACCGGCGCGTCCACAAGGCCGAGATCGGCTGCGTCTGTTGTCCCGACGACGGCTGCTGCCGCTGTTGCTACAAGCGCACGACCTTCCTCGGCGCGTCCATGGGCGGCTGCGCCTGCTGCTGCCTCGGCCTCATCCTCTTCATCGTCGCCTTGGCGTGCAACTCCAGTGGTCTCGGCATCTGGAGCCTGTTCGTCCACATGCCCGCGGCGTTGATCGTCGCGATCGTCGGCTGCGTTTGCATCGGGTTCTGCCGGCCGGCGGACGACGTCCCGCGCGGCGTCGAGCTCGGCGGGCCCCGCCCCCACGCGCACCCCGTGCAAGAGCACGACGTGCCCCTGGCCTCGGCCGTCGTCGAGGTCGAACCCGCGCCGGCGAAAGACGTCCAGGGCGCCGTCGTCGGCGTCGTGGGCGGCGGCGCGCCGCTCCGGGGGACCGTCGTGCCGCCGCCCGCGCCGCTCCAGGGTACCGTAGTGCCGCCGCCCGCGCCGCTCCAGGGGACCGTCGTGCCGCCGCCCACGCCGCTCCTGGGCGCCGTCGTCGGGGAGACGCCGCCGCCCGCGCCGAGCGGCTTCGAGGTCGCGGACCTCGTCGCCAAGCTCGGGCGCTTCGGCGACAAGGCCCAGATCGCCGCCGCGCACTGCCGGGCGCACAAGGGCTCGCCGCCGACGCCGGCGGACATGGCCGCGCTCTTTTCGACGCTCACGTTGTCCTTCGACGCCAAGGACGTGGCCCGCGGCCTCTCGGAGAACGCCCAGCTCAGCCTCGACGCGGCCATCGCCGGCGTCAACGCGACGACGTTCAGCGCCAAGGAAGGGGTCGCGAGCCTCCTCGCGCGGACGATGAGCGGCGCCGACAAGCGCGCGCTCTGCGACGCCGCGAACGTCGACGTCTAGGCCGCAAAAGCACCTACGCGTCCAATTAAAAGAACTTACGCGTCCAGTTGGCGACGCCGCCGAGCGTCCCCGGGAGCGGCTCCTCCGCGGGCGGCGGCGGCGGGAGGTCGTGGTCGAGGAGCAGCTGGACGTGCGCGTCGTTGCGGAGCACGCGGGAGCCCTTGAGCTGTTGCGGGCTCGCGCCCTCGTCGAGTTGCTTCCGTCGAAGCGCCTCGAAGGCCGCCGCGCTCACGTCGACGACGACGGGCGGCGAGATCGCGCCCTTGTCGCGCCAGGTCGCGTAGACGGGATTTTCCTCGCGGAGCGCGGCGTCGAGGCGGTCCGCGGCGGCGCCCGGGTCGCCGCCGCCCAGCGGCGCGAGGAGGTCGTAGCCCGGCGCCTCGACGTCGTCCGCGCGCTCCACCGCCGCGAAGACGGCGACGTCCGGCAGCGCGCGATCGACGGCCGCCTGGAGCTGCGCCTCCGACGTCTTCTCGCCCCGCGCGTTCAGGACCTGCCCCGCCCGGTAGCGGAACTCGACGAGGGGCGCGCCGCCGTGGCGGCCGACGGCGCGGACGACGTCGCCGAGCCGATAGCGGCAGAGCCCGCCGAGCGTCGTGACCACGAGCTCGTAGTCGGCGCCCGCCTCCAATTCGCCCGCGAGCACCGTCGCGTCGCCGGCCTCGCCGTCGACGACGGGCAGGAACTCGAAGACCATGGCCCGCGGCACGAGGCAGTAGGCCGCCTCGCCGTCGTCGCGGGGCTCGAGCGACACGCCCATGAGGCCCTCGGACGCGGCCAAGATCGTCGACCGGATCGGCACGCCCGCGCCCGCGCCCGCGCGCAGGCGCCGCGCGTGGGGCTCGAACGCGCCCGTCGCGTTCGCCAAAATCAGCTTCAGCTTCGGCCAGAGCCGCAGCGCGAAGCCCGCGGCGCCGTCGCCGAGCGCCGCGCGGATCTCGCCGGCGCGCGCGGCGTCGCCGGGCCCGAGCGCGGCCTCGAGCTCCGCCGCGAGCGCCGGCCCGACGACCGCCGCGACGGCCGCGTCGAGGGTCCCGGACTCGACGTCCGCGGCGACGCGCGCGTTGAACGCCGGGTCGCCGAGGAGCCCGACGAGCCGCGCGGGCATGGACACGAAGTTCGCCTGCCGAGGACGCGCGTCGCGTTTCGCGCGAACGGGGACGCCGGGCGGCGCCTCCAGCACCCCGAGGTCGCGGTCGCGCGCCGCGAAGAGGCAGTGCACGTACAGCGCGGACGCCTCGTCCTCCACGGCGTAGCCCGCCTTGGGCGTCGAGTAGAGCAACGGCCGGAGCCGCTCGAAGGACGGGTCCTTGGGCCCCGACGAGTTCGGGCCCACCCTCAGGCCCGACGGCGCCTCGCGGTGCCGCGGCTGGAACGCGAGCTTCGTCGTCCGCTGGAGGTGGTCGAGGTGGCCCAAACGATTCAGCACGTCGAAGACCACTAAAATCCCGCGAGCGAAGAACGTCGACGACATCTCCGGCGTCGTCGGCAAGAGCGCGACGCGGCCCGACCTACAAGTATGACGGTGACGATGTCTCATTGTTTCCCCACCCAAAATCTCTCGAAATCGTCACGGCCACAGGACGCTGGGCCCGACGTGCCGGACGTCGCCGCGAGCATGCGCTCCGGCGACGCGTTGAGCACGGGCCCGCCGTGCTCGTAGATGCGGTCCACGTAGGGCGCGACGTCCGCGTAGGTCGTCAGCGGGTGCGCCGCGCGGAACGCCGCCACGACGTCGTCCGCGGCCGCGAGCGCGGCGAAGCCGCGGTCGACGCCGTAGGCCGTGTCCTTGTTGCGCTCGAGCAGCGATTTCAGGAGCGCCGCCTGCGTGTCTTCGAAGCCCGCGCAGTCCTGGTCGTGGCGCCAGCGCGCGTAGGCGCCGGCCACGCGCAGCGCGTCGAACATGAAGAACTGCTGCACGGCCGTGGACAGCGTGTGCGTCTCCTCGGCGCGATCGCGCGACGCGAAGCGGCCGACCTGCACGGCCGCGGCCGCGGCGCCGACGGCGGCGGCGCGGCGCGCGGACATAGCCAGCGCAATCTCCACTAAAAATCAACCAAAAGTTCATATAAACGATGTTGAACAAGCTGCCCGAGTAAACTCGAATAATTTCGTCGATGGTGATGCGCTCTCGCACGCGCTGCACCATGCGTTGACGATACGCGCTAACCATGCTGAAGGTCGCGCTGCTCTGCGCCGGCGTCGCGGCCCAGCAATGCGCGCGCGTGGCGACGGACAAGAGCGGCCTGAAGAAGCGGCACATCCTCTCCGCCGTCGGCGGCTTCTACGCGGCCCACGTCGTCGTGAGCCAGCTCGGGCGGCGCAAGAGCGGCGCGCTGGCGGCGCTCGAGTTCGACATCTTCGAGCGCTTCGCGTACCCGTCGATGGCCGCGCAGTCGGACGACGCGTTCGAGTGGCTCGTCTACGCCTCCAGCTCCGCGCCGCGGCGCGTGCTCGAGGGCGCGCGGCGGCTCCTGGACGGGCACGCGGGCTTCCACCTCATCGTCGTCGACCGCAAGGCCTGCGCGGCGGAGCGGCGGCGGACGCCCGAGTTCTGGCCGCTGGGGGACCAGCTGGAGCTGCTGGGCTCGTGGACGGGCCTCGCGACGCGAGAGCGCGACAACCTCGTGCTCCTGACGACGCGCCTCGAGGCGACGGACGCGCTGCCCGTCAACGCCGTCGCGTCCATCAAGGACGGCGCCGTGCGGGTCCCCGCGAGCTTCCCCAAGGAGGCCGCGGCCGTGCGGCTCCTCTGCTGGGCGTCGTCGCGGACGCTCGACCTCGCGGGCGTTTTCGACGTCGCCGAGGCGGCCATGGCGCCCGAGGCCTGCGCGCGCACGGGGCTCACGCAGGTCCTCACGTCCCAGGCCATCGCCAAGGCCAAGGGCTCCGTCTTCCGCTTCTTCCCCGCGCGCGCGCGGCGGAAGACGTGGACCGTCGTCCTCGAGGGCCGCCGCAACTCGGCGCCCCTCGCCGTCGTCTCGAGCGCCAACGGCGCGCCGGCGCCCGCGGCGCCGCCGAAGCCCACCGCCCTGGCGCTGCCCCGCCTCGCCGCCGCGTACAACGTGTCGACGTCAGGGCAGGAAAAGGGTGCGACATTCCCAACTTCAAAGGCTCCTATCTCGGCCGTTTTCTACTCGTTTCGGCTGATTTTTGGACGAGCGATCATCGCTCGGAACGGTCTCGAAGCGTGGATGCTTTATCCGGAACGCGCGCGCGTGGAACACTCACGTTGAAGCGAACTTGAATCTCTCTTTTGCTGCCCAGGTCGACGTCCGCGCGCGACCTCGCGAATCTCGCGGCGCGCGAGAAGACCCTGAGGCCGGCGCCCTGCGACCTCGCGGGCGACTGCCTCGCGGCCATCGTGCTGTTGAGCGACGCCGACGCCCGGGGCCCGACGCTGGCGGCGCTGCGCGCGAGCTTCCTCGACCACGTGGCCCGCGAGCGCGGGAAACGAGCGCGACGTGCCCGACTTCAAAGGCTCCGACCTCGGCCGTGTTCCGCTCGTTTCGGCCGATTTCTGGACGAGCGATCATCTCTCGGAACGGTCTCGGAGCGTGGATGCTTTTTACGGGACGCGCGCGCGCGGCACACTCACGTTGCAGCGACGTCGAATCACCCAGGTGGCCCACAAGGCGATCTTCGCGGACTCGGAGCTCCCCGCGCTGGGCGTCGAGGCCTGCTGCGGCGGGCGCGACCTGGGCAGTAACCTCGCGTCGGCCCAGCTCAAGCTCGAGCACGTCTACGCCCGCGCCTACGCGCGCTTCCGGCCCAAGGGCGTGCGCTACTACGTCTTCAGCGAGCACGACGTCTACTGGAACCGCCACGCGCTGCCGCGGTTCCTCGACGCCGTGGCGGCCCAGGTGCCGCTCAACCCGGACCAGCTCGACGCGGCGGCGCCCGTGATCAGCGGCGGCGGCGGCAATTTAGGCGTGCGCACGTCCGTCTACGGGTGCTTCGCGATCCTGAACGCCGAGGCGCTCCGGCCGCTCGCGGACGACGCCGTGCTCAAGGTCTGCAAGGCGGGCCTCTTCGTGCGCAACCCCTGGAAGGAGTGGGTCAAGCCCGGCGCCCTCTACAACAACGACCACCTCCTGACCTACTGCGCGGACCCCGCGGAGCAGGACGTGCCCGACAGGGCAGGAAAAGAGAGCGAAATTCCCAACTTCAAAGGCTCCTATCTCGGCCGCTTTCCACTCGTTTCGGCTGATTCTTGGACGAGCGATCATCTCTTGGAACGGCCTCGAAGCGTAAATGCTTTTTCCGGAACGCGCGCGCGCGGAACACTCATGTTGAAGCGAACTTGAATCACTCTTGTCCTGCCCAGGTGCCCGAGCGGCGGACGCCGGAGGTCGGCGGCCCCGCGCGCGTCGCGTCCCGCGACGACTACAAGTACGAGGACACGTTCTGGTGCAACGCGCCGTCGGCCGTCGCGTCGGGCAACTGGCGCTTCCACTACAACGACAAGCGCTACACCCTCGACAGCGTGCTCGACGCGTGGTCGACCGCGGACGTCGTCCTGGACGGGGCAGAAGATCAGCCGAAACGAGCGGGAAACGGCCGAGAAAGGAGCCTTTGAAGGTGAGAATTTCGCACCCTTTTCTTGCTCAGGTCCTGGACATGCGGACGAAGACCAAGGGGTCGGACTTCGACGTCGCCGGCGACCGCGGCGCCTTCGAGGCCTGCGCCCGGCGCATGGAGGCGGCCTGCGGCCCGCGGGCCGCGGCGCTCCTCCACGTCGTCGCCATCCACCACCTGAGCGCGGACGACATCTCGCGCGTCGACGGCGACTCCGCGAAGGCGCGCGCGTGCGCGCTCGAGCACGACGACCTCGCCGCCTGCCTCGCGGGGCCCCTCGCGGGCACGGCGCTCCACCCGAACTGCGCCGGCGACGTCGCCGCGAACCCGGCCAAGCTCCGCGCGGTCGCGCGGCGCTCCGCGAAGGCGTCGCCGTCGTCGGGCAAGAAGCGGCCGCGGCCGCAGAAGCGCCGCCGCGGCGGCTTCGGGCGGCGAACGGACCTGTAGGGTTGGGCCGCTTGAATCTACATGGATTCTTACGGGTCGTCGGCGAGCGCGCGGGAGTGGTCGAGGAACTCGGCGATCATCGATTTCATGGCGTGGTTCGGGACCAGGTTCGTGGCGATGGGCTCGTTCGTCGTCGGCGACGTCTGGGCGCGCTCGAACCACTGCGCGATGGCGCACCGCTCGTACGTGTGGCCGTCCGCCGCGAAGACGGGGTCCTTCATGAGCTCCGTCGTGATGGGGCACGCGAAGGACTCCGGCACCTCGTCGCGGCGGATCCGCAGGCGCTCGAGCTCCGCGCGGTGGTCCGCGAGCTCCGCCTCGACGACGGCCTGGTGCCGCGCGATGTCGTCGAAGACCTCCTGCACCGCGAGCTTCTTCGCCGACGCCTCGGACACCGCGCGCATGGCCTCGACGATGGACACGGCCACGGTGACGGGGATGTCCATCTCCTCGACGAAGTCCTCGACCGTCATCAGCGGCAGCGCGGCCGCGTCGACGAGGTGCTCCGCGAACGTCGACTCGTACGCCGAGAGGCCGAGCGAGACGAGCAGCGCGCGGACCGTGGGGTCGACCTCCTCCGCGCCCTTGGACTCCTCGGCGCCGGCGGCCTCGTAGTCGCGCGGCGGCGACGGCGGAGCGGGCGCGGGCTCCGGCTCCGCGGCGGGCTCCGGCTCGGGCTCGGCCTCCGGCTCCGCGGCCGCCGGCTCGGGCTCGGGCTCGGCCGCCGGCTCGGGCTCGGGCTCCGGCTCCGGCGCGGGCTCAGGCTCGGGCTCCGCCTCCGGCTCAGGCTCCGCCTCCGGCTCGGGCTCCGCCTCCGGCTCGGG